AAGTGCTGGCAAACATAAATCTTAATAGAAGAGTCGTCTACTTTAGCTATATTTTTTAGTGTCTGAATTCTCTGTCCAGTTGCAAGAATTAGGAGAGTAGCAAGCTTTTTTGTGAGCAATTCTAATGAAAAATTCGAGTGGACACCATCTTTTTATAAATTCAAGAAAGAAATCATGAAGTCAAGGACAATCGACCATTTCCAGATTTTAGTAGTGATAAAATTAAGGTGCAAATATTTTGCACCTCCCATTCTATTAGTATATGATATTCTTAGTCTCAAAAACCTCTAGCGTTTAAATAATTACAATAGGTACCCTAACCCGATTTTGATGCATCAATAACCTAGTAAGTAAGAGTATATTTAGGAGGTATGAAATTTTGACCTGCATATTCTGTGTTTTTGAGCCACCAGCCGTAAACTTCAGAAAAAAAAAAACTTGTTGGCACAAAGAACCGCATTATAATTTTCATTATTTTCCTTAAGGGCTTTGTATTTAGCTCATTCAATCTCTTAGTATCTATAAAACAGCTGTATTTATCTGCGGGACAAAAAGAAATTAAAGTGCTTGTAAGTTGCGAACAAACCATCTTATAGTTAGTATGGATACATACTGTCTATATTTTCTGGAAAATTTCAGCACTAACTTTTTAATCTTACATTTCTTTGTGTCTGTAGGATACATTTTCATTAATTTTGTATTTAAGATAAAATCTAAGTATGAAATTTCTTGAGTAGACGTGAAGATACTCTTTTTTTTATTTATTTATTTACTTATTTTTTTTTTTTTATTAAATTTATATTTCCAGTACATTCCGCTAAATGTTTGTCTAATAAAAGAACATCGTCAAGATAGTTGAGTCACAAACAAAAAACGTTTTCCCTTAACAGTTGTTAATTACCGGTGTTTAGGGGGTTGAAAAACATATGCATAGTGCAAATTCCAAGAAAAAGAGCTTAAAATTCATTTTTTTTTACTATTATTATTATTATTATTTATATTTTAAAAGTATAATTTAAGTTCCAGTTTTCTGCAATGAGAGTTTCTGGATAGCTATATTGTTTAGGTTAGTCTAAAATTTTAGGTTTAGGTCTACTAGTTTAGGACCTAAAAGGTATCGTAATCGCAACCATATTTATAATAACCTTTTAAATAACTTAAAACAAGTTCGTTATGTGTTATTTTCAACCATTGGCTGTAAATAGTCAATTATACCAGCATATTTGTTTTGAGTTCTAACCTGAATTATTGTCTCCTTCAACACATTCTGCCTTCTTTGGAATTCTTGTTCCCCCCTCGTTCTTTTTAAAATGAATCTTCTAGGAATTTTCCCCTTCTTATCTTCTCATTATTCTGTCTGTGGACCTTCACCTGGATCTCAAAGCACTCATTTTTAAGTGTTTTGATTTCTGAGATGAGCCTGCTAGTATTTTCAAGATTCTTGGCTTCTTTGCATTTTTCACTAAAACTTTACTAAAAAGCAAATCATCGCTTATTTGGCCAATCGCCACGCTTTTAATTTTGCTATTCAAGTGTGAATTTAATAAAAAAAGAAAACCTTCCAATGGTTCGTAAAGTAGGATTCTCCTAACATAACGATTTCCCTAAATCTATCAGATTTTAAGGGCAACTCCAACCTTGGTTATTTTCTTTGGGAAGTTCCACTAACCTTGTAATTGTTTGGTCTAGTGGTGACATTGTTTTACCTAAAAACGTGCTGTAGGTCTATCAAAAAATATATTTCTTATTTTCTGTTGAAGAAAACATGATTTGGACCTCCGGATTTAACCTCGGTCCTTAAAATATACTGCAATTGCTGGGGATGGAAAAAATATTTTAGACTGTCTTTCGTTTCTGTTAGTAATTTTAAGAAAGATAAGCATCCACCTAATTTTAAGTGTGTCACATATTTTAGGTCCTACTCCTACACAGATCTTTATCTCTCTCGAATTTGAATTAATTGATTTTTTTCTAGATTTGATTCCGAGGACGATTGGAATTAAATAAATATAAGTTTATTGTAAGCCATAATAATGTAAATACAATTTTTTAACCAATTTATGCTATATTGCAACCAAAAGATCTCTTACGTTGTAATGTAATTATATAACATGTAATTCTAAGACAAATCTTAATATAAACTCACTATCTGAATCTGTACCTTTAATAAAAGACAAAAAAAAAACATTTTTGAAAAGCGTTTAAAATATTTTTTAATAAAATATTTTATAAACTCAGGCTAAGCCTTGTATATAAGAATATATAAACAAGGGCTTAAGGTCATTTGTGTAACTTCAGCAGTTCCCCGTCCCCATAGCAAGATGTTTAGTTTAAGCCTTGGTTTAAGAATCGATAGCGGTCTTTACTTTGCATTTTAGTCACCTACTCATTTGTAAACAAATAGCTTTGGGGTTTTTATTATTAAACAGATTCAGATTCGTTTTGACCTGTCTAAAAAAATAAAGTTCATTATTTTATCAAAAGTGAGCAAAAAACACTCTAGCAAATGGTAAACAAACAACAATGTTGCGTCACCTTGCCGCTGTAGAAAAACACTCCGTTCGGTGTCTTGTGGCCGGGTATAGCATAATATATAGTTACCTCTTTGAATACAAGCTTTTATTAAATCAAAACTGCAAAGCAGATTTTTCAAATACAGCCACAGAATAAAGGATCCGATATCTAGATCATTTTAATCGTTTTCTGAGACATACTAGCGTGCATAAGTGAAGGACTATGCTGGGTTACAATGAGTATATGTTTACATCCACAAGGTGGATTAACCCAAGCTAGTAAATATTAGACAGAATCATAATACTTGTATCACCATTTTCCAATTCCAGCCGGAAAATACAGATCATGTTAATGTGACCCACGTGTATATAATTATATGGATGGTGGATTAACCCAAGCTAGTAAATTAACTAAAGTAAATCTACTACCTCTTCTATCTCTAAAAATATATAATTACTTACTTGTTACGCCCCCTGTTGACAAAAAATAGCTTTAACAGTTATAGCTATTACATGCAATTTGAGACTTAACAGTTATGTCTCTTTTTATATTTGGCTTTAACATTTATAGCCAGTATCTACAAAAGTATTTAGACTTCTTCTTTCTTTCTCATCACTAGTACTACTGTACACTCTTATACGACGTTTTCGATCCAAAAAATCCAATTTTCTCAAGAGATGTCTTCTTTCCCTTTCCAGCCTTTCACTTTCATCACCACTAGCACTTAAGGTACGTTTCCTTTTACTATATTTCGGCATTTTATATTTCACTTCTAACTATACTGTTTACTCGACAAAGCACAATAATGTTATGAGAAGGCTGACGATCGGGTACGGATGACTAAGGCCTATGGCTAACAAAAAATGCATTCTTTACGTAATTGGGAATAAAATGTGCTCGATAAAGTATGATAATGATACTACGGGTGTATATCTATTTGGACGAGGATACGAAATATAAATATATATATATAGGCTATTAAGATCGGCAAAAAAAAAGTTTTTTTAATTTCACTCAAAATGAATGAATTATTTGGGTCATAAATGACCTAAATACAAAATATTTTCATTGTGTCTGTCTGTCTGTCTGTCCGTCTGTAACACGATAACTGAAAAACCGCTAAACCTATTTTAACCAAATTTGGCACAAAAATAGTGTACCCGAGAATCTAGCCATTAGTTTTTGGTTGGGGTGGGGGTTAGTAAGGGGGTATGGGAGGGGATTAAAAAATTTAAAAAATTGTAACTCCAAAATTACAGTAGCTAGCGAAACGCGGTTTTCAATTTAAGATTAGGACTAATATTTGCAACAAAATTTGTAATAACATCAAAATCAGTCAAAGTCGCAGTTTTTGAGATAAAAAAACACGATAACTGAAAAACCGCTAAACCTATTTTAACCAAATTTGGCACAAAAATAGTGTAGCACCCGAGAATCTAGCCATTAGTTTTTGGTGGGGGTGGGGGTTGGTAAGGGGGTATAGGAGGGGATTAAAAAATTTAAAAAATCGTAACTCCAAAATTACACTAGCTAGCGAAACGCGGTTTTCAATTTAAGATTAGGACTAATATTTGCAACAAAATTTGTAATAACATCAAAATCAGTCAAAGTCGCAGTTTTTGAGATAAAAAAAATTGGAAAAATTCCTTTACTTTGAAACTAAAATAACTGCCTACCAACTTTTTATTAACATATTTTAGTATGGGCGACTATACGTGCCTCCCGGCGCCAATTTTTTACTAATAATTTGATACCACACACTTGGTATTTCGAGTCAAATTTTCGTTATAAATCGCATGTTATAATTTCAAATAAACCGTATGCAAAAATGTAAAAAGTTGACATATGATATGTCATTCTTTTCAGAATGTTTATTTTCTATCGAATAAAGTAAAAAAATATCGAAGATGCCATTTAAAAATCAAAAGTTGTAGTCATTTCCGGCGAAACAGGAAGTGACCGAAACAATTAAATACGTCCAATCCATTCTAATTTATGTCATATATTTATACTAACATAATCAAATCTCGTTTTTTAATTGAAAAAATGAAAAAGTTATAGGTGTGAGCCACTTTTGAGACGCACCCGGTATACGTGTGATTAATGTGTGGTGCTTGTAAATTATGTACTTAAATGGAATGAGAACTTACTAGAGGGGACAAGAAGAATATGATCAATTACCCCCAAAAAACACGAATCTAATAGTCAAAATAAGAGTTAGAAAAAGAACATAAATGCTATAAATATAACATTTATATTCTCTTTGGTTCTGCTCCCGATGAATCGCCGAAGTTAAGCGAAGTTAGAAAGTTCAGGGTTTAAAAATACAGCGGGGTTCGGTGTAGATTAGTTCTAGATTACCAGCAAAAAAGAGACGTTAGCTTAAAATACTTTATTTTGTTTCTTCTAAAAATTCAAGTTAAAAAATTACGTGACACAATTAATAGCATTTACAGCCAATTATAATTGTGATATTTTTGTTTCAGCAATTTGTCCTGAATCATTTTCAAGAGGACTATACTCCAACAGATAGAAAATATACGTATTATCCCACAGTTGTTACAAATGAAAGATGGTACAAAGTAAAGATATCAGATCTACCAGTTATACCTTATTTTCCTGTCAACTCTTTTTACGAATGGGCTAACTATAGGTAAGAAATTGTACTTAAAAATATTTAGCTCAGGTAATATTTTGCAAAAAAAATTATTGTACTAAAGCTTCATTCAGAAACCTCGCAATTAGTGGAATAAATTAGTGGTTTCAATTACACTTTATACTTTTTAGTTTACGATCATTCACAATGTTTAAAAAAGACAATTAAAATTAATCGAATATCCTAGCAACAGCCTGCGTTAGTTAGTTGGGTCCATCGAGAAAGCCTAATATTTAGCTTATAAAACAATCAACTTTTTCAATTTCTCTTCACCGAAGATAATCAAAAGCCAAAATGACATTTCTCGCAAATTTTCAACTATAATTAGTGGAAAAGTTAAGGGTTTGATAACTTTTCTATACTAATTGAAAATGTCTTCCACTAATTTTGACGTTCTGATTACATTGAAATTACTTGCTTACATTGAAATTAAAGGAACAAACTTCTACGCTAATTGAAACCACTAATTGATTCCACTAATTGCGAGATTCTGAATGAAGCTTAAACGAAAAGACTTTTTGCGCATCACCAGGGATATAGGTACGTTTAGAAAGCCAAACTGTTATTCGAAACTGTTATACGAAATACTCTGATTAAAAACAACTAAAATCAGTGCTAGTGAAACTATATTGACAGAATTAGTTTTGAAAGCCAATTCTGTCAAAGTTTCACCAAAACTTGAAAAGATCAATATGAAAAATACGTTCTCACGCTTCAGTTTGCAGATATTTACGGTTCAGTCAAAATGAACAAAAGTAGAATTACCTTTTCATTTTACTGATAATATCAATATACTGTTGTTCAGTTTCACTGAAAACGTGTTCTTGCATTCATTGTTCGTTGAGTCTCTGAATCAGACAGACTGCTTCAATCGGAATAAGGGTACGTCCATAATGCACCGGTTCCACGCTTTATTGCGACCAATGACTAAAGAATCCAAAGACAAATAACACCCGAGAGCAAATTATTATAATGCCACCAAACAGTGCCGTGGCACATATTTTCTTAACTTAGCTGTTTGAAGAGATATTTATATTTTTTGATAAATGTTTTCACTACGCCTATGGTGTATACGGTGGTATCATACTAATTAATTACGAAAAAACGTATTAAAATGTCAACTAAAGATACAATACTAGTATCGACGTATAGCACACATCAAGTAGGTACATATAATATCAGAAAATAATTATCGAATTCAATAAGAAATGCAGCATTTTTAAACGGTTTTCAAGTTTGTTGAAAATATACTTCAACGTGTCTTTCTTCGTGTGGATATATTCGTAAAATTTTTAACGGTGAGCTGTGAGTTGTGAGTTTAACGTACGATATTTATCAAATTCAAAATAAGACCGATTGATTTCATAAACGCGAGTATTACTTTTTTGTATTAGTTTAATATGAACATTATCACTAGCTAATAAAAAACATAATAGATCGGCATGGGATAGCTCCATGATGCTAATTGACATTCCCGCTCGAAAACCGGGAAGTAAGGTCCTACCGAGATCTTGGTCTCGGTTACCGTCATTCTCGGCTAAAATCAGGCCGAGATCTCGTTCTCGCCATAAAAAGGCCGGGATTATCGGCCACGGTCGAGACTGCTCACGATCGTCAAATTAGCTTATTTTTTAATATTTTTGAGCGTATCGCACAATCTAACCTAACCACCTATCGATGCGTGGATGAATGAAATACTCTTCCGAAGTCGAAAAGAAAAGAATGATATCTGATCCATATATGATCTGATAGAATCACGAAGGGAATTTCCCGGGCGGTTAAAGAATCGCCTTCATATTTCTATGCGTAAACAATGAACGAAATGTTAGATGTTCGTGTCTTATTAATGTAAGTTTTATACATTTAACAGAATTGTGTTTTATATGAATTACGCGTATATCCTATTAATAAGTAAAATTTTTGTGTGTAATTATTCACCTCCATGCAGAGTTCTGAAACCAGCAGCTTATACATTTATAATCTGCCCCACCAACAAGCGTCTCTATCAAACAACTATTTAGAAAGAATATGATGATAAGGATGAAATGCTGAAAAATTACTTTTTTAGCCTATAACATAGACTAAAAAAGTAATTTTTTTAGTATTAGTAATTTTATAGTATTAAATCCCAATAAAAGCGTTTTTGCATGAAAATGCGGTTTTTATTAATTATTATCAGATGTTTTTTCATATAATAAACTATTAAATAAATATTGCATCCTGTCTCGGTCTCGTTCTCACCCGAGAATTTCTTTTCCTCTAGGTTTCGGTCGCGGTCTCGGCCGAGACTAGAAATCCAGGTTCGGTCGGACCTTAGCGGGAAGCCTGTGCACTATGGACGTACGCTTAGAGCGCTTGCACACACACCGGCAAAACCAGAGCCGGTGCCGGCGCCGGCGCCGGCTTTGCACTTTGCACACGCTCCGTCAGTTGTATTTAATTCTATTGTATTTGCCGGTCCACGACTATTTTACCGGATCGGAATATATGTGAAGGAGCTAATTTATTTATATTGCAATCGATTTTAGCACCGGCACCGATACAGATTTTGCCTGTGTGTGTGAAACCGCTCTAGCACCGTGAGAATCCGCCTTAATAAAACTAAAACCAATCATAAATCGCCTCTTAATCCTAAACATCTATTTTTAGGTACTATGGTTTACGTAGCGCCACTGCCTACATTCTAGTGTTCGACCTCAGCAATATAGACACTTTCCAATACATTAAAACGATAAGGGAACAAATCTGCGAGAGCAGGAACATGCAAAACGTGCCAGTCCTAGTCGTGGGCAACAAGGAAGACCTGATCGTCTCCGACGATGCCCCCAACGCCAGCTCGAAGCCGGCCATTTCGAGCACTAGCGACGAAAAAAGGAGGGACATTGTCAACCTAGTTAAAAAACATTGGAAATGTGGCTATATCGAGTGCAGCGCGAAGTATAACTGGCGTGTGATGCACGTGTTCAAGGAGCTGATGAATATGATCGAGAACGTCTCCAACAGGGATCAAAGTCCAATGCTCGATAATATTCAAGAGGCCTTAGATCGAAACAAATGCGTTGTTATTTAGGGGTTGTGTAGTTTTAAAATTAAATGTAAGGATATTTTAAGGGCAGCGTGGCAAAAGTGGAAAAAGCAAGCTTTTAGAACGAATAGTTTTTTAGAAGGTAACCGTTAGGAGACGTTTTTATACATAATTTGTTATAATATAATATCTGTAGGTATAAACATATGTTACGGGTAATACGCGAAATTAGTTAATTCGCGAATTATCCCGTTAAAGGTTGATTCTCACTATACCTTCCGTATCAGCACCCTTCCATTTCCCTTCCTATAAAATATTATATCATGTCAATGAATAGAACAATGCACACTATCCGTTCCGTTTCCCTTTCGTTCCATATCCTTTCCTTCCATACTTTTTTTTGGCGGACGGACTAAAGCGTATCGGAAACAGCGTTGTCAAGTTCTTACATTTGTACCAGCTCTGTTAAAATTTTTCTGATATTTATTCATTCTTTCACCTCTTAATTATATCTATTACCTTTTTCAAAAGATACAAATTTTTAAAATAAAACTTTCGTAATAATATAAATTGCAAAACAAAAAGTATGGAACTGATACGGAACGAAGCTTACCTATAGCGTCATTACAATAAAAAACACGGAACGGATATGGAATGGATATGGAATGGAAACGGAAAGTATAGTGAGAATCAACCTTAAAGGTTGATTCTCACTATACCTTCCGTATCAGCACCCTTCCATTGACATAAAATATTATATCATGTCAATGAATAGGACAATGCACACTATCCGTTCCGTTTCCCTTCCGTTCCATATCTTTTCCTTCCATACTTTTTTTTGGCGGACGGACTGAAGCGTACCGGAAACAGCGTTGTCAAGTTCTTACATTTGTACCAGATCTGTTAAAATGTTTCTGATATTTATTCATTCTTTCACCTCTTAATTATATCTATTACCTTTTTCAAAAGATACAAATTTTTAAAATAAAACTTTCGTAATGATATAAATTGCAAAACAAAAAGTATGGAACTGATACGGAACGAAGCTTACCTATAGCGTCATTACAATAAAAAACACGGAACGGATATGGAATGGATATGGAATGGAAACGGAAAGTATAGTGAGAATCAACCTTAAAGGTTGATTCTCACTATACCTTCCGTATCAGCACCCTTCCATTTCCCTTCCGTTTACATAAAATATTATATCATGTCAATGAATAGGACAATGCACACTATCCGTTCCGTTTCCCTTCCGTTCCATATCCTTTCCTTCCATACTTTTTTTTGGCGGACGGACTGAAGCGTATTGGAAACAGCGTTGTCAAGTTCTTACATTTGTACCAGCTCTGTTAAAAATTTTCTGATATTTATTCATTCTTTCGCCTTTTAATTATATCTATTACCTTTTTCAAAAGATACAAATTTTTAAAATAAAACTTTCGTAATGATATAAATTGCAAAACAAAAAGTATGGAACTGATACGGAACGAAGCTTACCTATAGCGTCATTAAAATAAAAAACACGGAACGGATATGGAATGGAAACGGAAAGTATACCTTCCGTATCAGCACCCTTCCATTTCCCTTCCGTTTACATAAAATATTATATCATGTCAATGAATAGGACAATGCATACTATCCGTTCCGTTTCCCTTCCGTTCCATATCCTTTCCTTCCATACTTTTTTTTGGCGGACGGACTGAAGCGTATCGGAAACAGCGTTGTCAAGTTCTTACATTTGTACCAGCTCTGTTAAAATGTTTCTGATATTTATTCATTCTTTCACCTCTTAATTAAATCTATTACCTTTTTCAAAAGATACAAATTTTTAAAATAAAACTTTCGTAATGATATAAATTGTACAATAAAAATTGCGGAAATGATACGGAACGGAAGCTTACGATGGCGTCAATACAATAAAAAATACGGAACGGATATGGAAGGGATATGGAATGGAAACGGAAGGTATGTAATAGATAAAACCCGAATAAGTGTTAGTTTCGCGTATTATCCACCGCAAACAGGTAAAAATGCGAATTACCCAAGAGCAACCATATAAAACGTTTATATTGTTTAGTATTGTATCTTTTGTCAAGAAGGACGGCAATATACCGCATAATCGAAAAAAAAATCGATGTCAAAGACGGCTGGAAAATGACAATTCATGATAATTTTGTCAACGTCATTGAATGTGTTAAGCAGGCAAAAAACAGTGCCTCTAAAAATATGTTATGTAATTCAAGCCTATCCTGTTTTAATAAGCAGTATGTGGTTGAAGTAGGTACGCATCCGCCTGATTTTTGTTTTATTTTTAAGACTGGAAAAAAATTGCTAGACTGAAGACTAGCAAAGATTTGTTAGTTGAAGTTTACAAAATGAATGGTAAAATTTTTGTAATAAAATTGCATCTCATTACCTGCATACACATATGAATGTGATATTAATTACTCGCTTAACACATTATCTGGCTAATTCGCGAAATAGCCAAGTGTTAGCAGATATAACCAATCATATTGTATAATTCGCGTTCTAACCGGATAATTTGCGAACAATTATAAAATATAATATTATTTGTTTCTTTAAGCATTAACCAATTGTGTTGGTTAATTCGCGTCTTAGCCGGATAATTCACGAATAATTAATTTGGCGTATTACCCGTAACATATATACTGTCCAACAATAGAATAATGATGGTGGCAGTTTGTCATTTTAATTCAAACTTAGATTGTATTTTATTTTTATTTTTTTTGAATGTTATTTGCTCAAATCGTTTTTTCTTTCGTTGGACCGACTTTGTTTGAGGTACATTTCTTGAAACAATCCAAATTTTTAAAAAAAAGTTATTTTTGTGCAATACAGTATGTGAGGGGAAGGGCTATATTTGTGACGAAAACGGGACCAGCTAGCCATTTTGATGGTAGTTTTGTATCATTTGTGCATTTTCTCACAAATTTAATGTTTTTCATCGCTAATTTAAGTAAGGCGTCAAGTTGCAAAACCCGCCTTATCCTCAAAAAAATGGCCTAATAACATACATTAATAGTGGACCTGAAATCTACATATAATAATACCAAGCAGCAGCAAAAGTCGCCTATTCCTATATAAAATTCATTACAAATTACGTTACTGTTTACTTAATTAAATACTTTAATTAGTTCACTTTGCAGGTCCCGTTTTTATTTTACAGAAATACGTATAGTATAGTAGCGTCTCCCTTCTCTTATTCCGTCATGGTGTAGTACCACTGGATCGGCATCCAAAAGAAAATCCAGCTTCTGAATAGATCTTTGTTTTTACCACAAACTAACTTATACTGTGCTTTTACTAAGCAATCTGCCTAGTCAACAAAAGAACATAACGTATCAGGAGGTATATCTCCTTTATAGCCAAGCAAAACACAATAGTTTACTTCGGGTTTTTCTTATTACCGTCCTAGAATTGTGATACGCAGGTGCAGAAGAAAATATGAAGAAATTATTTCATTTGCGCATGCGCTGCAAAGTTCTAGGACGGTTCAGAATCGGTAATAACAAAAACCCGAACAAAGCTAATATGAGTAAAGGCTCATAGCTGAGAGCAAAGTAGGGTTCTATATAAAATTTGCATCAATGACTAAAGAATCCAAAGACAAATAACACCCGAGAGCAAATTGTTACGATGTTACCAAACAGTGCCGTGGCATATATTTTTCTTAACTTAGCTATTTGAAGAGATATTTATATTTTTTGATAAATGTTTTGACTACGCCTATGCCTATGGTGTATATGGTGGTATCATACTAATTAATTACGAAAAAAACGTATTAAAATGTTAATAAAAGATACTAAACTAGTATTCTATAGCACACATCATGTACATATAATATCAGAAAAATAATTATCGAATTCAATAAGAAATCTAAAAAAACCATAAAAAAGTGGAGCGGACTGTTTATTTACCTATAAAACGTAACTCCTGGCTCTTTTATTCGCTGCGACTTTTACACTTGAAAGCTGAACAACTAATCACCATTGTAATAAAGTTTATACAAAGTTTACTACACACAAACTATTAAAAATCGCTAAAATTGTCGCTGGTGACCAGCTGATGACGCAATCGCTGCCATCAAGAAAATAGCCTCTAATGTCACAAATTCCTGCTGCAGCCCGTATATGGGCGTTACATGTCCTTATATTCTTTAGTCATTGATATATAGATCGATGGATAAAAATGTTTCATTTATCTATGCTATTACATAGTGACAGTTACGAAATATAAAAAGTAATAACTTTTAATTTTTTAGTTTGCTGTTTCAGAGGCGATTACACACACGTTTTCGAGACATACTTTATAACGAAAATATTTTTAAATTTTTCAAAATACAAGTAATACAAGTACAAGTAATTTTTAGTAAACAAATCATTAACCTATAATACATCTAGGAAAAATCAATAATGGAACCCATTTTTTTATAAATGACTAGAAATATTATTAATTGCTAAAAAAACTTTCTACTGGGGATTATAACAAAATAAACTCTTTACTTTTATTTAGCTAGTTGATGCATATGTTTTCTACCTAAGCTATTCGGGTTTTTATGATCTGTAATATGCTCTGTGGTTCATTTGGATCACTGATATATATTTTTTTAATGTACTACTAATTTTAAGATTTAACAAGAATAATATATTTATAGTTTACTTTTTGTAGGACCTCCGTAACGAATACTTAACAACTGTGCGAATACCTAGCAATATTTCCTTTACACTTTACTCTAAAATTTTGAAAACTTATGTATCAATTTAATATACAGGGTAGTCCAAATTATATTCCGGAAACTTCGGCAGCATATTCTGCACATAAAAATAAGTAAGAAAGTTTCTATAAACTTATGTCTTAAAATGGGGGCTTCGTTTCGGAGATACAGGGTGTAGAAGTTTCATTTTTATTTCGATATTTTCCAAATAATTTCTGAAGTAACGTCAATATTTGGAAGAAAATTGGTGTCTGGGAGTTTTTTGACATATGAAATTTGATTTTGATGTCAATATGACTCCTACTTGTAGAGGGCGCCACCTACATATTTTTTAACTGGTTTCGTCCGTACCTGTATAAAACTCCTGAGCAAAAAAATGTACGTTTACCACGTTTTTTACGTAAAAACAAGATCTCTTGGTAAAAATCGCTACGAGTAATGGTTTTCGAGATATTTGGAATCGAAATTAGCAAATTACATCATTGCTGATAAATTACTGAATGTTAAATTTCAAATGACTTTGTGTCAAAAGTCCAAGAGAAACTGTTTTATCGTCATTTTTTTGATGAAATATTTATGATTAATTTAAAAA